TAGCTGCCGGTGGATCTCCAAGATGCCATCTCCTGCTCCATGGCAGCTATCCATTTAGAGGCCCAAGGTCCCGAGGTCACCTCAGCATAAGTGCGAGGGGTCGGGATGTCGAAAGCGTCTGGGTCACCCTCAGGGACTAGCACCATGGAATAGAGATGGGAAGCAGCCTCAGACAGGAAAGCAAGCTCGTACTAGCGATCCTCCAGGACGTCACTGCTGAGGGCAGGCGCACCCCCGACGGACGGAGGACGGGCAGGGTCAGAGACCAGAGCGGTGGCGTAGTCAAGGCGGTGGGTGGAGGCAAAGTCAGCGACAGCAGCGACTAGAGCGTCAAGACGCGAGACTGGAACAGACGGGTCTATAACGAGAGAGGCAAGGACCCGAGGAACAAGGGGACGAGCGGCACGAAGGTAGTCAGACAGAGGGGGAGGCGCGTCAACAAGGGAGGACGGAGGAGGCGACGGGAGGAGGGGAGGATGAGACGCGTGAGAACGAAGCAACATAGGGTGATTGCGTGGGACGGGGGAGACAGGGCGAGCACGGGAGGGACGGCGAGACCAGACGTGAGATGGAGGCGTCGGGTCAGGAGACAAAGGAGGGGACATAAGAGGGGAACGAGGGGGAAGACGAGCCGGAGACGAGTCCGGGGGAGGGAACACAGGGCCGTAGACAGGAAGAGGAGGAGACGGCAAGAGAGGCACATACGCGCGGTCAGGGGACGGAAGGCTGAGAAGGCGAAGGGATGACACCGGCGGGGACTGCTGCTGCGGCGGCACGACACCGACACCAGGACCGCAAGCTGCTCCACGGCTACCTTCGGACCACTCCAATCCAGCACCCCCATAAGGAGCACCCCCATAAGGAGCACCCCCATAAGGAACACCCCCAGAAGGAACACCCCTTGAACTTGAAACCCCTCCTGCACCGGTACCACCCGCAGGCCCGCCGGGACAAGCCACGACAGGAACCCAAGGACTAGTACCCACCTCAACGCCAGCACCCCCAGAGTTGACGAACGGCTGCTGCGGCGAATGCGGCTGCGACGAAGGTTGCTGCGGCTGCGACGGCAGCGGCGACAACGGCTGCTGCTGCGGCGACGACGACTGCTGAGGCGGCGGAAGAGGAGACACCGGGGGAGGGGCAGGCGGGGAGGACTATGTCGCAGAGCCACCAGAGTCAGCAAACTCCTCAACCGGGACAACCGACGGGAGGGGGGTGACGTGAGACACACCAGACGGGCAGGACGGGGAGGGGGAGGGGCAGGGGCGACCAGGGACGGGGGAACCAGGAACAGTGGGGGAGTAACCGGGGGACCACGGTGGCGAAAGAAGTGGTAGACGGAGACAGACTCGTCAAAGGTGATGTCGCGGGAGTGAAAGAAACGGTGGGACGGCGGGTGGTAGAAGTGCCAGTCAGACAAGTCAAGGGGGAAACCAAGGAAGACACAGAGGACGGTGCGGGCAGTGAGCTTGTCCGTGCCGGAGGCACGAACGTGAGCAAGGCAGCCCCAGACGTGGAACGCAGACACGTCACCAAGAGACCCGGTCCAAAGAAGGGTTGGCAAAACCTGCGGCTGTTGAGGTTGCGGCCACAGGTTAAGCTGGTGAGGCGTAGCGAACGGCGAACGGCCACAGAAAATGGGGTGCACCGGCATGGATCATGGAGGTACGAGCCACCTCCATGACCAAACCGATGCGTCGCTCAGCGACCCCATTCTGCTGCGGGGAGTCCGGCAAGGTGTACGACTGGGTGATGCCCTCCGCACGACAGAAGCGACCAAGGCAGCCAGAGGCGAACTCGCCACCACAGTCGGAGTGAAGACGCAACACAGGGAGTCCTCGGTGAACACGGGCACAGACAAGCCATGGGATAAGAACGTCAGGCATGTCGGCCTTCCGCTCCAGGGGAAACGCCGTGATGTAGCGCAAGTTGTCGTCGATAAGCTAGGAAGAAGCGCTCACGACGCAACCCATGGACAGGGGCGGGGCCCCACATGTCCGTGTGCAGGGTCTGCAGCGGTGCGGCGGTGGGGGGGAAGGAGGAGAAGTGAGGGGCACGGCACAGCCGGTCCTCGATGGAGGGGGTGCACGGCGGCGCTGCAGAGGAGGGGAGCAAAGGGAATGATGGAGGGAGACCTAAGACAAGACCGTGCTGAGACATGTGACGGAGATGTGTGTGGGCAGGGTGACCTAGGCGGTGGTGCCACAGAAGCGACGGGTGAGTAAGCGACCGGCATGAGTAGACCCCAGCAACCTTGGTAGACGTTGCCACTTGGGGGGGCGTCCCAACTAGGGGGGACGCGGTGTCCAGCGTGAACAGGCCAGACACTGGGTCTCGGGGGAACGTGGTGAGGGGAGCTCCAGTGGCGGCTTCGGTACAGACAGCAAACCACTCGTGACCAGGGAACGTAGTGGTGACGCCAAGGTCCTGGAGGCAGCCAACACCAACTAGGATCCTGGAAAACGAGGGGATGTGCAAGCCTGTAAGGGAGCCCGAAGTAGCCGTCGGACAAGGAAGGGTGGTGGAACTACGGGCGACTACCGGACCAGGGGAGGGGTCGGCAAGGGAGACTGCGGCAGGAGCGGCGAGCGGCGTCAGCGTAGTGGAGTCGTGGAAGAAACACCGAAAGTGCCAGAGTCCAGGATGAAGGAGAGCACAGCAGCGGCGGCCGGAGTCGGAGCAGCAAGGGAAGAACCAAGGCTAAACAAGGCAGTGGGTCCTACGCCTGACACAGGAGGGGAGTCTAGGCTAGACAAACCTACACTAGGAAACAAGGGGTAGTAAGAACCAGTCACACTAGAGTCATCAACAAACAGCACATACAAAGTAGAGCTTATATGATCCATGTCCATATTAAAAATCGGAACTCTACGGCGAAGCAAGCTGTGCCAGTCGGGGAGGTCGGGCGACAAGCCGAAGCGAAGACGAAACAGGTCGACTAGGCAACTAAAACAGCGGACGGGGTTGTGACTGATCTTATCGCAAACGGAGCCGCGGCGAGGACTAGACTGGAGCTGGTATTGACAGCGACCGTCACCCGAACTACTACCCGGAGGCACACCACACGCACGACCACCACCCCACCGCCACCACCAGCGCCAGGCCACCCGGGCGGGAGACCACCCGCCCGACGCTGTTGCTGCTGCTGCGGCTGGTGCTGTTGCTGGTGAAGTGGCTGCTACTGTTGCTGCTGCTGGTCCGGCTGTGACGCCTGCTGCTGTTGGGACGGCTACTCGGCTGCTCCAGTCTCGGTCCCCTCGTCAGCACTACCACCAAGTGACCCGACTCCACCACCGCCTCCACCTGCACCGCCGCTACCTCCGCCGTGCCCAGCCTTTGGGGTGGCGACCCTTCCCCGAACGGTACTGCGCTGCAGCTGCGGTCTCAGCCACAGCAGCAGAACCGTCAGAGAAGGTGCACTGAGCGGGGGCACAACCCTGAAAGATAGGGACTGGCGCAGTGCCGCTAGTCTGGGCGATAGAGCGCTGGCGGGTCTCTATGGCAGACATGTTGTCAATTAAGTCAGTGAGGGTGAGGTCACCGGGGTGGACGCTAAGAAAGTGACCACGGGCAGTGGCGAGACGTTCAGGGAGGCCGGTGGCAAGCAGGTAGAGGGTAGAGCAGAGGGGCGGCTGAAAGGCACGAAGCTCGGTCTCAGTGCATGCAGCACGCCAGGTCGCGTATAGCGTGCGCAGGTGAGCGGCAAGGTCAGCAACAGTGGGGAAAGACGCAAGGTCCGGAAAGAGCATCGGTAGGATGAGACGACCTACCGAGGCAGCGGGCGGGGTGGAATAGCGTTTGACAACAGTGTCTAGAAACTCCTGCGCAGTCGTGACCGACCGAAAGCGGGGGCGCTCAGACAGGGGGAGGGCATGACTGATCGCGAGCTGCGCGACAGCGTCACGCGATAGCCAGACTGAGCGAGCAAGGGCAGCAGCGGCAGCGGACTCACGCTCAGCAGATGAGGGGTCAGCGCATCAAGGGGGTCAAGGCAGGGAAGCGTACCATCAAGGTGAACCGCTAGCGAGTGGCCATCCTGCCGCTGACCAGTGAGATGGCGGCGGAGGTCGACCAGCCACGTGTCAAACTCGAGCAGCTGACCTTTTGCGTCAAAGTGGAGCACAGAGTCCGCCATCAGGAACGACGCAGCAGCGATGCAGTGCGGTACAAAGCAGTGCTGTGCGGTGCAGTGCAGTGCAGGGACATGCAGAGTGGTGCCGTGCGGTGCAGGGCGGTGCCGTGCGGTGCAGCGCGGTGCAGTGCGGTGCAAAGCGGTTCAGCGCGGCGCTGTGCGGTGCGGGGCGATGTAGCACGGTGGAGTGCGGTGCAGGGCGGTAAGAACGGGCCGCGCACGGGACGGAGGCGGGCCGGCCGAAACGAGCGGGGGGGCGGCGTGGAACGGGCGCGGGGGCCGACAAGGAACGGGCGCGGGGGCCGACAAGGAACGGGCGCGGGGGCCGGCTCGGAAAGTGCGTAGGGTCGGCTAGGAGCGGGCGCGGGGCCGGCTAAGGACGGGCGCGAGGCCGACGAGGGGCGGGCGCGGGGCCGACTAGGAAGAGGCGCGGGGGCCGGCTAGGAGCGGGCGCGAGACCGGCTAGGAGCGGGCGCGGGGCCGGCTAGGAACGGACGCGAGGGGCCGGCTAGGAGCGGGCGCGGGGCCGACAAGGGGCGGGCGCGAGGCCGGCTAGGAACGGGCGGGGGCCGACTAGGAACGGGCGCAGGGGGTCGGCTAGGAGCGGGCGCAGGGCCGGCTAGGAACGGGCGCGAGGGGGCCGGCTAGGAACGGACGCGAGGGGCCGGCTAGGAACGGGCGCGAGGGGCCGGCGAGGGGCGGGCGCGAGGGGCCGGCTAGGAACGGGCGCGGGGCCTGCTAGGAACAGGCGCGAGGGGTGGCTAGGGCCTAGGGCGGAAGCTCTGGTGGGCGAGCTGGACCTAACCTACTCATGATACCATGTCAGAATGATAGAATGACTAAAATGACTGAGTACAAGGGAATATAACCTAGCTAGTTGTACCCTCTATGGCACAAACCTATACAATCTACAAGCACAAAACAATATATGTTTGACAACAACTTGTTAATACTGGCTGGTATTGGAGGTACTCCCAACATTACTTTCTACTTCAAGTACTTGTGTCTGCAGATTCTATTCTTAGTCTCCTGCACCACCTTTCAAATTCTTTCATAGGGGAGTTGAGACTTGATAGGCCCCCCTAACCATGGTCTGCCTTACTTTTTATGTGCCATGGGCTGCTCCAAGACTGACACTAGGAGCTGAGGGACTAGACTAGATAGAGCTTCCTACCCAGTTTAATCTGCCCCAGTTTCTTCCGCCTAGTCTGCCTTGGCAAGAGCATCAATCGCCTCCTTCTCTGCTGCTGCCTCCAGCGCTTCTATGAACGTCTCCAGGCCCTCACCCTGCAGCACCTGGTGGAGGTGAGGCATTGAAGACACGAAGCGCGGCAACATTGGAGGGAGGGAGAGAGGGAGGGAGGGAGGCAAGGTTCCTTCTCTGCTGCTGCCTCCAGCGCTTCTATGAATGTCTCCAAGCCCTCGCCCAGTAGCACCTGCTGTGAGGGAAAGGAATGTGTGGGAAGACGGAAGGGCAGAGGTAGGAGGAGAGGGAAGGAGGGAGGGCTCTGTCCCTGCTGCTGCCTCCAGCGCCTCTAAGAACGGCTCCAACCTCTCGCCCTGCAGCACCTGTTTGGGGAGCGGAGGGTGAGCTACTCCTCTGTAGGGAGGAGGGACAAAAAGGAAGGGAGGGGAGGGTCTATTTTTGAGACGCCTAAAAAACAGACAAAAAGGAAGGGAGGGGAGGGTCAGCTACTCCTCTGCTGCTGCCTCCAGCACCTCTATGCACATGTCCAAGCCCTCGCCTGAAGCCCATGTCCAAGCCCTCGTCCTGAAGCACCTGGTGGAGAGGGTGGGGGGGAGAGGGGAGAGGGAGTCAGAAGGGCAGAGGGAGGAGGAGAGGTAGGCGCCTCAGAGCTGGAATTGGTTGAATTTAGACTGCCTCGGAAGTCTGCTGATGTGGTAACTGGAGAAGAAGCTACAGAACGCATCACTTGAATCGATTGCCCTAGAGAACACACTATCAACCGATTGAGAGCCCACCTGTGGCAGTGAGTGAGTGCAACGAGGTGCCTCTTGAGTTGACTCAAAAGATGTACCAGACTCAAAAGATGTACCGGACTCAAAGTCACCTTGATTGACAGCCCACCCACCTGCGGCAGCGAGTGCAACTGCAGGGCAAGCCCCACGCTGAAGTCTGTTATCCTCCTGGGTGGGAAAGCTGTAGCCTGTCGGTGCGAATGCGAATGCGTCTGTGGCATGCAGGGATGGTTTCACACTACAAGCACATCGTGGGCTCACCTGTGCCAGCGAGGTGACTCTTGAGTCGGCTCACAAGATGTACCACTTTACCAGCTCATCATGCTTGGGCGCACCTGTGGCAGTGAGTGCAGGCTGGGCTCCACCCGGTGATCTGTTATCCTCCCTTGAGGGAAGTTGTAGGTGCGAATGGGACTGCTGCGGTATGCAGGAATGATCAGCGGCACCCTACCAGTACTACATTCACACCATCTGCCCACCTGCGGCAGTGAGTGCAGGGTGAGCCCCACGCGGTGGTCCGTTATCCTCCCTTGAGGGAAGTTGTAGGTGCGAATGCGCTCCGAACGATCCCCAGAACCGATCTAGCGAGCATTGGGAAGAAGGGAGGGACGGAGGGAGGGAGGGAGGGAGGAAGGGAGGGAGGGAGGGAGGGAAGGTGGGCAGCAGCAAAAATTAACGGATAAGGGGTGGTTGTTGTGGATGCAGGGTGGAACAGTGAAGCCCACACGCATGAAGGGAAGTTGGTGGTGCGTGTTGTAGTGCAGAGTACAGCACACACTCTGATCAACCGCCACAACATATCAAGAGCAGAGACACGGGGCGGGTAGCATTGAGAGCCACATGCTCATTACTGGCACATGCCCATTACTGCCACATGCCCATGACCCCGATGCCCATGACCACTATCTGCCTCTTGTGTCTGTCAGCACCATAATCACCATGCCCATGGACATCTCTACAACACAAGCTCACCATGCCCTTGCCTCACCTGCCCGTGCCTCACCTGCAACCGTGACGCCTCTGCCTGATTCCTCTGGGCGTCAAACAGCCAGTCCTGCATGCCCATGTGTCCCAAACACCCACATACATCCCCACGCCTCCCACCCAGCCTCACCTGCCCGTGCCTCAACTGAGACCGTGACGCCTCTGCCTGCTTCCTCTGGGCGTCAAACAGCCTCGCCCGCAGCACCTTGAGCGCCTTCGCCTTGTTCTGGGGAGAGGGAGGTGTCGAATGGGGGGTGTAGGTGTCGAATGGGGGGTGTAGGTGTCGAATGGGGGGTGTAGGTGTCGAATGGGAGGTGTAGGTGTCGAATGGGGGGTGTAGGTGTCGAATGGGGGGTGTAGGTGTCGAATGGGGGGTGTAGGTGTCGAATGGGGGGTGTAGGTGTCGAATGGGGGGTGTAGGTGTCGAATGGGGGGTGTAGGTGTCGAATGGGGGGTGTAGGTGTCGAATGGGGGGTGTAGGTGTCGAATGGGGGGTGTAGGTGTCGAATGGGGGGTGTAGGTGTCGAATGGGGGGTGTAGGTGTCGAATGGGGGGTGTAGGTGTCGAATGGGGGGTGTAGGTGTCGAATGGGGGGTGTAGGTGTCGAATGGGGGGTTGTGGGTGTGGAGGTGCGGGCAGAGGAACGGGGCACATCAGAGATGCGCACTGACTGACTGTAGTGCCCCTTGTGTCCACTTACTGCCCTCACGTGACCCCTCCAACTGAAAGCAACTGCTGCGCTTGACCTCCTCGCCTGGTGCTGCGATCGCGTGTCTGGTATGGCCACCACCACCACTATCCCTGTGCGAATGTGAGTGATGCGCACTGCGCTGCTCGAGCTGTTCACTGACTGCTGTGACTTGACATCCTAGTGCTCCTCATCCTCTCATGTAGCTCACCTGGTGCTGTGACAGCTCGTCCTGTATGGCAACCACGATGCCAGTGGGTATGTGGGTGATGCGCACAGCGCTGCTCGTGGTGTTCACGGACTGCCCGCCAGCCCCGCCACTCCTGTATGTGTCGATTCTCAGATCCTCCTGCCGGACTGACATGTCAACCTGCAACGTGCGACGGAGGAAGGGGGGAGGACAGAAACGTGTAGAGCACTAAGCCCTGATGACCACTAAGCCCTGATGACCACTAAGCCCTGATGAGCACTAAGCCCTAATGAGCACTTCCGCCCTGATGACCACTTCCGCCCCAGTACATGTCGATCCTCAGATTCTCCTGGCGGACAGAAACATGAACCTGCACTGCGAGCGAGCACAACGAAAGCTTGAGCTCACCTCGTTAGCTTGGGGTAAGACAGCAATGGTGGCAGCACTGGTGGCCACCCTGCCGCCCTTCTCTGTGGTCGGAACCCTCTGCACCCTGTGCGGTGCGGTGCGGTGCGGTGCTGTGCTGTGCTGTGCTATGCTGTGCTGTGCTGAGCTGTGCTGTGCTGTGCTGTGCTGTGCTGTGCTGTGCTGTGCTGTGCGGTGCTGTGCTGTGCTGTGCTGTGCTGTCCTGTGCTGTGCTGTGCTGTGCTGTGATGTGCTGTGCTGTGCTGTGATGTGCTGTGCTGTGCGGTGCGGTGCGGTGCGGTGCTGTGCTGTGCTGTGCTGTGCTGTGCTGTGCTGTGCTGTGCTGTGCTGTGATGTGCGGTGCTGTGCTGTGCTGTGCTGTGCTGTGCTGTGCTGTGCAGCCCCTGTGATAGCCTGCAGTGCCTGCAGCCACGCTTACCTCATCTGCCTGGGGAAGCACGGCCACAGTGGCAGCGCTGGTGTGCACCCGACCTGCCTTCTCAGTGGTCGGTACTCTCTGCACCCGGTGCACGCCACTCTCTCCTTTCAGCCACCCAAATGCACCATCTCCTGATATGCTTGCACTCGCCTCCTGTGAATATGGGAAGGGGAAGGGAATGGGAATCCGCAAATTCGGGTGCAAATTCAGGTGCAAACTCAGATGCAAATTCGTGTGCAAATTCAGCTGCAAACTCAAGTGCGAATTCGGGTGCAAATTCAGCTGCAAACTCAGGTGCAAATTCGGGTGCAAAATTCCATCCTTCACAGAACAGTATGGGAAGGGGAAGGAGATGGGAATTTGCACCCGAATGCACCATCTCCTTATATGATTGGACGAGAAAGGAAGGCATGAGCAGGTATGGACGAGCAGGTATGGATGAGCAGGTATGGACGAGCAGGTATGGACGAGCAGGTATGCACGAGCAGGTATGGATGAGCAGGTATGGATGAGCAGGTATGGACGAGCAGGTATGGATGAGCAGGTATGGATGAGCAGGTATGGATGAGCAGGTATGGACGAGCAGGTATGGATGAGCAGGTATGGAGGAGCAGGTATGGACGAACAGGTATGGATGAGCAGGTATGGACGAGCAGGTATGGACGAACAGGTATGGATGAGCAGGTATGGACGAGCAGGTATGGATGAGCAGGTATGGATGAGCAGGTATGGACGAGCAGGTATGGATGAGCAGGTATGGATGAGCAGGTATGGATGAGCAGGTATGGACGAGCAGGTATGGATGAGCAGGTATGGATGAGCAGGTATGGATGAGCAGGTATGGACGAGCAGGTATGGACGAGCAGGTATGGACGAGCAGGTATGGACGAGCAGGTATGGATGAGCAGGTATGGACGAGCAGGTATGGACGAGCAGGTATGGACGAGCAGGTATGGACGAGCAGGTATGGACGAGCAGGTATGGATAAGCAGGTATGGACGAGCAGGTATGGAGGAGCAGGTATGGACGAGCAGGTATGGACGAGCAGGTATGGATGAGCAGGTATGGACGAGCAGGTATGGACGAGCAGGTATGGACGAGCAGGTATGGATGAGCAGGTATGGACGAGCAGGTATGGATGAGCAGGTATGGACGAGCAGGTATGGACGAGCAGGTGATTTGCGTGGCACCAGCACAGATGGTGTCCTTTCCTTTTCCCTCTTGCCTCCCGCTTTCTCTGCTTTCGAACCACTCTATCCTCAACACACCCTTTATGATATCTGCCCTTTTCGGGGCATCCAAGAATCCCAAACTGCCATCAATCGTTCCCCTCTGCTCCCCTCTGCTCCTCTCTGCCCTTTTCCAGGCATCCACGAATCTCAGACTGCCATCCCTTTCTTCACACAGAAGCGCTGGTGCCTGCGATGGGATTCACATCCCTGGAACACACAGTGCACACACCTTCTATCCTCTCTCTTCAATCACCTTGTACCCGCCCTTTTCAATCTCCGTGACCTCAAGAATCTCAAACTGCCACCCCCTTTTAGCACAGAAGCGCTGATACCTGCAATAAGAAACACACCCCCTCACATAACAACCCCTCCCATCATAACCCCTCCCATCACACCCCCTCCCATCACACCCCCTCCCATCATACCCCCTCCCATCATACCCCCTCCCATCATACCCCCTCCCACCATCCCCTCTCACATCATCCCCTCTCACATCATTCCCCCTCCCATCATACCCCCTCCCATCACACCCCCTCCCATCATACCCCCTCCCATCGCATCCGCACCATACACAACATACCACACACACATGATCGGAATCAATAACCCGACAACAGCGTAAACTCATCGTCTTAAAACTTGCTATTATCGTCCAATCAGCTGACACCCAGTCAGCATCTTACATCCAATCAGCATCTTCCATCCAATCAGCATCTTCCATCCAATCGTCACCTTACATCATTTCAGCAGCCCATACGTGTCACCAAGGTCATCATTACCATCAGAATGTTCCAATCAGCTGCTTACATGTGGAAGATGTCGCAAAGAGAGCTGCCTCATCGCCTCCCGTGCCTGCAAGCAAGCATGGGCCGAGAGGAATTGGGGGAATGGGTGAGTGAGAGAGGGGGAGTGACAATGGGTGAGTGAGAGTAGGGGAGAGAACGGGGGTGAGTGAGATTAGGGGAGTGGGAGTGGGGGAGTGAGAGAAGGGGAGTGGGAGTGGGGGAGTGAGAGTGGGGGAGTTAGAGTTGGGCTGAGAGAGAGCGACGTAGTGAGAGAGGGGGTGAGACAGAGCGGGAGAAGGGAAAGCGTGGGGTGGCATAGGGGAGGATCTTTTAGACACGTCAACGAAGACATCTGCTGGATTGGGGGTTGGGAGAGAGGGGGATAGAGTCGGGGGGAGAGGGGATAGAGTGGGGAGGAGAGAGGAGGGAAAGAGAGGGGGAGAGAGGGGGAGAGCAGAGACGGGAGGGAACTCATGGTTGGACCAGTATAATAACCGGATCCGATCGCGTCTCACCTCTCCTGCTCTGACCTCCAGGATGCATACTCTGCTCACCTGGGCCAAGCTCCAGGTGGTTGGTTGTCCTGTTTTATGCCTCGTTCATACATCTGTATGCTCGCCATAAAACCAGACAACCAACCACCTGGAGCTTGGTCCAGGTAACAAATCAAATCGCATCCCACCTCACCTCACCTGCCCTGACCTCCAGAATGCATCCCCTGCTGTCCACTTCGTCCCTCGGCAGGATCCGCCTCACTGCACTCCGCAGCAGCGCCTCCCTCTCCCTCCCCACCACCCCACATTTCCCTACAACGTGTGCGTTTCTGTGTGCGTGCGCGCGCGCGAGCTTGCATGGGTGCATACATGTGTGCGAGTGTGCCATTTAATGCCAACCCAAACCGCGTCTCACCTCACCTTCCCTGACCTCCAAAATGCATCCTCGGCTGTCCGCCTCGTCCCTGGGCAGAATCCGCCTCACTGCACTCCGCAGCAGCGCCTCTCTCGCCCTCCCCACCACCCCCGCTTCCTCCTCCACCATCGCCCTCAGCTCCTCATCGTCCTCCCTGTCCCCTTCCGTTTTCCCCTCTGCCCCTTCTTTGTCCTCCTTATAGTGCTGCTCCTGACCCCTTAGTAGCGCGTGCAGGTCCTCGAGCTCCTGAAGTTCGAGAAAGCAGTGGGGGAGGAGGAGGGAGGAGAGGCGGGTGGGAGACGGGAATGGAAGAAATATGCGAAGGATAAACAGACGAGTCATACTACTTGGTGGCAACTGTTTAGTATACTTACGCACTGTGTTTCTTTAGAAGTCACACACACACGGCCCGTGCATTTATGATGCCACAAACCTTTACCTAAACGATGTCGCACACACTTATCAACCATTAACACGTGCGCTGGCTGAAACACCACCACGAATGACTTAAAAGTCACTTACCAACAACATAACACGTGCCAAAAATACCAACTAGCCATAGCCCCATCAGCCTACCTTTGTCTTCTTCTGCAGCTCCAGTGCGATCGCAACAGCTGGCGCCAGCTCGCTCATCTCCTTGCCTGCCCTCGCCAGGTCATCTGCTGACGTGTCAGGCTGGCGTGGCAGGTAAGTTAGGCAGGAAAATTTGGCATCCGAGTGGGGGGGAAGAGAAACAATTAAGTGCACTGAACAGCTACTTTCTCGAGCCTAACCTGCAGTGGAAGGCTTTGGAGAATTCCAAAAAATCCATCACTTGCTCCACCCTACCTAGCTTGCAGCAGCTCTGAGCTGAGAAGGCGCCTCATTTGGAAAAGCAGCTCCTTTTAGACTGCACAAAAAGGACAGGCCACACCTGCGAAAGCCGCTCCTCCAGCTGTTGGTGTCGACACAAGATGACACATAGCACCTCTCATCAACAAGACCGCAGATAGCGCCTTCCCCAGAAAAGACAAGCCTCACCTGCGAAAGCAGCTCCTCCAGCTGCTGGTGGCGAGCCATGACGGCCGAGAGGCGCCTCTCCACCACTGCTGCTAGATCCGCCGGCATGGGCGGCGGTGGGGAGCCTGAAGATGCTGGAAGGAGGGAGAGTTGAAAGGCGGAGGAAGGGAGTTGAAAGAGGGAGGGAAGAGAGAGGACAAGACGGAGTGTCACAGCAGGAGCCAAGACAGCAAAGAGGGGTCTTTCCACCACCGCTGCTAGTATTGAGGGTGCGGCGGGAGAGAAGGGCAAGGGAATACGAGCTAAGAATCAAGCGAGAAAAAACGGCAGATAGGAGACTATCCACCAATGCTGCTAGTTTCGTAGGCATAGGCGGTGGGGGGTGTGAATGCTGGAGGGGCCACAGGAACATAAGGGTAACCCAGTAACCGATGGTGGGTTGCACCAGACGCAAAACCCACCATCGGTTGAGAAACTCGCGGACAACAGGAGCAGCTGGTTCAATCTCAATGGCTGCTTAGTAGGCACTCGCAGCAGTACGCTCGGCCGACCAAAACCGGAAGCCTCATCTGACCGTCTGTTCACCGGCGAGACGCTGACAGCCATCGATCTGGAGCACGCTCCGTGCGACCATGCTAAGGCGGAGGGATTGCGTCTTCGGGGAGTCTGGTTCAGAGCGAATAGCGGCGAGACGGATCCGCGATTCCGCTCTGGGGAAGGCTCTGAAGGAAGTTGTAACACGGACTGCAACGACGTCGGCGACGCGAATGGCGAAGCCTGGTTACTCGCGAATTGGGGACTCCACCAACGGGTGAGCGCGAATAACGGCGACGCAGATTCGTGGCCTCGCTCTGGAGAAGAGTCTACTAAGGGAGGCTCTAGTAAGGAGGGCTCCAATGACGATGCGAGGGAGATCGTGGCGTCAGATGATGATACGTGGCCGTTATGCTGCTGTAGACGGCGGAGATGCGCGGAGAGGAGCGAGAGAGACTGCCGTCGCATCATGGAGGATAGGCGGGAGGGGATCGGCGAACAACCCGATGTATTAAACTCAATACGTAATCTGGATTCTAAAACTCGATAATTGATTCGGATCACCTTGTCTGCCAACAGACTACTACCACTGTGTGTAGTGTGTGCTGGCTCCTAGTAACCACGCCTGGTTCTAGAATCTTGCAGGCAAGTGGTGCCCTAGTAGAGGTTCAGCAACGGCTAGTCCCCCTGGCAACAGCCTCTGGGCATGGTTGCGCTCCCTCGAGATTGTCGCAAGTGACGGGATTGGAGGGTTGGAAGTTTTTTTTGCGAAACTTTGCCGAATCGGCACTCTGAAATTCATTACTGACGGTCACAATTCCTTCGTGGTTGCGAGCAGCTTTCGATCCGAACCAACCAGTTTGACGACCTTCAACAGGCTTCTGCTGCTAGCCACTGGGGGGGTGCAAAATTGTTCGGGCAGCTACGCCCCAGCAATCCCAATACAGAGTCAATCCATGCAACAGCAGCCACTAGGGGCGTGGTACCAAGGGTTCAATAGGCACGTGTTTGAACGCTCACCACACTGTACCCTGCTTGTATCTGACCGTATCAAGCCATATCGCTTTCAGCCTCTCTCGAAGTCAGAACGAGTTTGAATCTAAATACCGCGCCCTACAGGCGTGCGTACATTCAAATTTGCTCAGCACCCTACCCAAACGCTCTAAAGATTGACCGAATCTCTTATCAACGCGAGGCACCTCACTTAACCCTTCTAAAGTGAACTATTAGGGAACTCCTAAGGACTTCCCTCCCATGTCTACGACTGCCTGACCAGGAAGGCACCTGAATCCAGATTCTCTATCCTGAATCTGTGTGATGGATCCCTGACTAGCCATAGTTGGCCTTAGACAAATTAGGGTCAGCCTGTATTTCGTCGGCCACGCGACCCACTCTAGAACGCGCATCGGATGCGCAAATGGTTTCGCCGAACGATCTCTTCATATGCCTAAGTGTCGCCTACGTGTCTCGCTCGTGACATTCAACGACTAGGCAAGCTGGAGTGAACTTCCCTCATGTCCGTCATCCATCGTAGTAAGCCGGCCGGCTGTAGTAGTAGCCGTGACATTTTCGCCGCGCGAACGCCATTCCCAGCGATGGGTTCGCAGCAGCCTTTTGAGTCGACTGAAAAGTCAGCTCGTAGTAGTAGTAGCCAAGACAGTTCCGTAGGGCGAACGCCTTTCCCAACGATGGCTTCGCAGCAGCAATCCACAGGGCCGGTCGCTCAGCCTCCGAAAGGCCTCTTCCTCGCGCTGCTCGCGTTCAGGTCAGCAGGGCCGACAGCTGAAACGCCATGTGAGGACCGACAGCTGAAACGACAGATGAAACTATTGTTGAATTGACAGGACAGACGATGCGACAGCTGAGACGACAGCTGAAACAACAGCTGAGACGACAGCTGAGACGACAGCAACGACAGCTGAAACGACAACTGAGACACAGCTTTGAGGAAGGTCGTTTCATCGCGGTTTCTTCAATGCCCTAAACGTTGACGCTGTTCAAGCCTGAGCGGGTCGCACCACAATTTCCCTGCGCTTCTCCCCCCCTCTCCCTCCCCCGCCTCCCCCTCCCCGTCTGGCTGGCACCAGGCTGCTCAACAGCCTCGCCGTGCAGGCGTTTTGCAAGCATCTGCACCTGTGTCCTCTTCCCCCTCCCCCCTCTTCTCCCCCTGTTGCCTGCCTGCCTGCCTGCCTGCCTGCCTGCCTGCCTGCCTGCCTCCCTCCCTCCCTCCCTCCCTCCCTCCCTCCCTCCCTCCCTCCCTCCCTCCCTCCCTCCCTCCCTCCCTCCCTCCCTCCCTCCCTCCCTCCCTCCCTCCCTCCCTCCCTCCCTCCCTCCCTCCCTCCCTCCCTCCCTCCCTCCCTCCCTCCCTCCCTCTCTCCCTCCCTCCCTCCCTCCCTCCCTCCCTCCCTCCCTCCCTCCCTCCCTCCCTCCCTCCCTCCCTCCCTCCCTCCCTCCCTCCCTCCCTCCCTCCCTCCCTCCCTCCCTCCCTCCCTCCCTCCCTCCCTCCCTCCCTCCCTCCCTCCCTCCCTGCCTCCCTCCCTCCCTCCCTCCCTCCCTGTCTGCCTGCCTGCCACCAGGCTGATCAACAGCCTCGCAGTGCAGACGTATTTCAACCCGGACGAGTTCTGGCAGGGGCCAGAGGTGGCGCACCGCATGGTGTTCGGGTGAGTTGGGTGATTGTAGGCGAATGCATTGTTTTCGGGGCGAGAGTCTCTGGGATACCTGACTCGGTTCAACCCCGTCGAGTTCTGGCAGGGACCAGAGGTGGCACACCGGATGGCGTTCGGGTGAGATGCAGGTCATAGGTGAGTGGGGTGGTAGGGATGAGTGGGGTGGTAGGGGTGAGTGGGGTGGTAGGGGTGAGTGGGGTGGTAGGGATGAGTGGGGTGGTAGGATGAGTGGGGTGGTAGGATGAGTGGGGTGGTAGGATGAGTGAGGTGGTAGGATGAGTGGGGTGGTAGGGGTGAGTGGGGTGGTAGGGGTGAGTGGGGTGGTAGGGATGAGTGGGGTGGTAGGGATGAGTGGGGTGGTAGGATGAGTGGTGTGGGAGGATGAGTGGGGTGGTAGGATGAGTGGTGTGGTAGGATGAGTGGGGTGGTAGGGATGAGTGGGGTGGTAGGGGTGAGTGGGGTGGTAGGGGTGAGTGGGGTGGTAGGGGTGAGTGGGGTGGTAGGGGTGAGTGGGGTGGTAGGGATGAGTGGGGTGGTAGGATGAGTGGGGTGGTAGGGGTGAGTGGGGTGGTAGGGGTGAGTGGGGTGGTAGGGGTGAGTGGGGTGGTAGGGATGAGTGGGGTGGTAGGGATGAGTGGGGTGGTAGGGGTGAGTGGGGTGGTAGGATGAGTGGGGTGGTAGTAGGATGAGTGGGGTGGTAGGATGAATGAGGTGGTAGGATGAGTGGGGTGGTAGGATGAGTGAGGTGGTAGGATGAGTGGGGTGGTAGGATGAGTGAGGTGGTAGGATGAATGGGGTGGTAGGATGAGTGGGATGGTAGGATGAGTGGGGTGGTAGGATGAGTGGGGTGGTAGGATGAGTGGGGTGGTAGGGGTGATTGAGGTGAGACAGTCTCTTGTCTCAATTCAACCCGGAGAGGTCTGGCAGGGGCCAGAGGAGGCGCACCGGATGGTGTTCAGGTGAGAGCGGTGGAGAGGATGTTGAAGTGGTGCAGTGGTATGGGCATGGGTCAGCACAGCTCATGAGGTGTGTAGAGAGGTCTGGCAGGGGCAAGAGGTGGCGCACCGGATGGTTTTCACATTTCCCTGCCTGTAGGCTGTAGCTACGGCTTCCTGACATGGGATGGGAATGGCAGCCCGAACGGGCAGCTCGAGTGGGCAATCCGCGTGGGCAGCTCGAGAGTGCTCCAATGTGCCGCAAAACACCCGCCTTTCCTCCTCCCCTCTCCCGTCCCCTCCCTTAAGCTATGGCTACCTGACATGGGAGTGGCAACCCGAGTGGGCAGCTCGGTCGTTCCTCCACCCGATGCTGTTTGCTGCTGGTTACCAGCTGCTGGCTCTGTTACGTTTCGACACTCCCTGGCTCGTTGTGAGTGTTACAAGGCACGTTAAGCACTGCACTCGGCTTCTCTTTTTGCTGCTGGTTACCACCTGCTGGCTCTGTTACGTTGCGCCCCTCCCCGGCTTGTTTTGAGCTGTTATTCTTGCTCCGCTGAGCAACCCATTTGCATGTAGCTAAAACCCACCTTTCTCTCGCGCCCTACTTGGCTCATCATTCCCTTTCTCCCAACCCGCTTTCTCCCTCCCTCTATCCCTGTCGTCCTCCCTCCCTCTCAGCCCAGCGTCACTCTCCCCAATTCATCCAGGCCACCATAACAGGAGTGGCTCACCTAACCCGCGCCTCAATACGAGATTAAGAGAGATGAAGAGAGTAAAGGGAGAACAAAGCGAGAATTTGAAGACTCTTCCCACTTGGTTCTCTCTTTATCTCTCTCCTTCCCCTGCTCCCCCCTTCTCCTCCTCCCCCATTCTCCCCACCCCTGCAATCCCCCCAGCGCCACTCCCCCCGATTCATCCAGGCCAGCATAGCATCAGTGGCTGACCTGCGTCTCTACGTGCTCACTCAAAGGCTCTTCCCGTCCAACCCCTCTGCTGCTGCATGGGCGGTGAGTTGAGGTGTGCTCATGCGAATGGGCAGTGATGCAGGGAAGGTGAGTTAGTCGGTATTCAAAGTACCCACCATGTTCATGAGCTCACTCAAAGAATCTTCCCGTCCAACCCCTCTGCTGCAGCATGGGCGGTAAGTTGAGCTGTATTCACACGATGTAACTCGAGTGGGAAAAGAAGAAGAAAGAAAAAAACCCTACATTGATATTTCATCGTTGCTGCATGAGCAAAGATCAATCGAGTGACCTGCGAAATAAATTCTTCCGAAACGATAAGGGTGTGGGACCTCCAATTCATGATCACGAATTTGGGTACGGACTTTTGCATGGTTACAGCCTTCGCAAATGTCGTCACCACACTTCGCCCGTCGCCAAAAACTTTCGCAACAATTCATACCAACGATGGAACTCCGCCGTTGGTAACAATGCATCACGAATATCCCCTCCGAACTCATCATGGAATGCCATATCATGGAACGCCATATCATGGAACGCCATATCATGGAACCCCATATCATGCAACGCCATATCATGCAACGCCATATCATGCAACGCCATATCATGGAACGCCATATCATGGAACGCCATATCATGGAACGCCATATCATGGAACGCCATATCATGGAACGCCATATCATGGAACGCCATATCATGGAACGCCATATCATGGAACGCCATATCATGGAACGCCATATCATGGAACGCCATATCATGGAACGCCATATCATGGAACGCCATATCATGGAACGCCATATCATGGAACGCCATATCATGCAACGCCATATCATGCAACGCCATATCATGGAACGCCATATCATGGAACGCCATATCATGGAACGCCATATCATGGAACACCATACCATGGAACGCCATATCATGCAACGCCATATCATGGAACGCCATATCATGGAACGCCATATCATGGAACGCCATATCATGCAACGCCATATCATGGAACGCCATATCATGGAACGCCATATCATGGAACGCCATATCATGGAACGCCATATCATGGAACGCCATATCATGGAACGCCATATCATGGAACGCCATATCACGGAACGCCATATCACGGAACGCCATATCATGCAACGCCATATCATGCAACGCCATATCATGGAACGCCATATCATGGAATGCCATATCATGGAACGCCATATCATGGAACGCCATATCATGGAACGCCATATCACGGAACGCCATATCATGGAACGCCATATCATGCAACGCCATATCATGCAACGCCATATCATGGAACGCCATATCATGGAATGCCATATCATGGAACGCCATATCATGGAACGCCATATCACGGAATGCCATATCACGGAACGCCATATCATGGAACGCCATATCATGGAACGCCATATCATGGAACGCCATATCATGGAACGCCATATCATGGAACGCCATATCACGGAACGCCATATCATGGAACGCCATATCATGCAACGCCATATCATGGAACGCCATATCATGGAACGCCATATCATGGAACGCCATATCATGCAACGCCATATCATGCAACGCCATATCATGGAACGCCATATCATGGAATGCCATATCATGGAACGCCATATCATGGAACGCCATATCACGGAATGCCATATCACGGAATGCCATATCATGGAACGCCATATCATGGAACGCCATATCATGGAACGCCATATCATGGAACGCCATATCATGGAACGCCATATCATGGAACGCCATATCACGGAACGCCATATCATGGAACGCCATATCATGGAACGCCATATCATGGAACGCCATATCATGCAACGCCATATCATGCAACGCCATATCATGGAACGCCATATCATGGAACGCCATATCATGGAACGCCATATCATGGAACACCATACCATGGAACGCCATATCATGCAACGCCATATCATGGAACGCCATATCATGGAACGCCATATCATGCAACGCCAGATCATGGAACGCCATATCATGGAACGCCATATCATGGAACGCCATATCATGGAACGCCATATCATGGAACGCCATATCATGGAACGCCATATCATGGAACGCCATATCACGGAACGCCATATCATGGAACGCCATATCATGCAACGCCATATCATGCAACGCCATATCATGGAACGCCATATCATGGAATGCCATATCATGGAACGCCATATCATGGAACGCCATATCACGGAATGCCATATCACGGAACGCCATATCATGGAACGCCATATCATGGAACGCCATATCATGGAACGCCATATCATGGAACGCCATATCATGGAACGCCATATCACGGAACGCCATATCATGGAACGCCATATCATGCAACGCCATATCATGCAACGCCATATCATGGAACGCCATATCATGGAACGCCATATCATGCAACGCCATATCATGCAACGCCATATCATGGAACGCCATATCATGGAATGCCATATCATGGAACGCCATATCATGGAACGCCATATCACGGAATGCCATATCACGGAACGCCATATCATGGAACGCCATATCATGGAACGCCATATCATGGAACGCCATATCATGGAACGCCATATCATGGAACGCCATATCACGGAACGCCATATCATGGAACGCCATATCATGCAACGCCATATCATGGAACGCCATATCATGGAACGCCATATCATGCAACGCCATATCATGCAACGCCATATCATGCAACGCCATATCACGGAACTCCAACGACAATTGATATCAAGGATGGAACATGCATCACGAATATCCCCGTCCGAACGGCAACTCCGCTCCGCCACTTTCGAATTTCTGGAGGCGTCGCATGACTTGCAGCGCACGAAAAAGTGCCGCGAAATGCCCAGTCAACAATTCGCCAGACCCCCACCAACATTCCAACCTCAGCGCTCATGGTTGGGTGATGCTCTAGTTCTAGCGAGCAGTGGCGACGCTGCACGAAGGTTGGCGATGCCTGGACATTGTTGCCATGTTCGTGCGTGTTCGCACGAATGTGTTTGAATCTCAAATGTTGGAACCTTGGGTGTTTTGGTGAGTGGTTCGCATGGCGGTACGGACTTTCGATGGGGGTGGTCCATACCGCCGAAATTCGTCATGGGTACGGACTTTTGCGTTTTTTTACCGATGTCCCACACCCTAAGCTTGCTTAGTCACTATTTATTCCTCTTCGTGTGCACCACCCACACGTTCTTAAAGCGGATGAAGAACTTAGTTCTTCCCCCCCTCTCTGCCACTTCCAAAACCTCTCCTCCCCCCACCCGCATGTTCTTATAGATGATGATGCTTCTTCCCTCCCCCCCCCCCTCCCCCCCCTCTCTGTTCAGTCCGCTGCATCCTCTCCCGTTCGTTCCTTCTCGTCTGCGCCACTTGCACATTCCGCCTGCTTGTTCAACTCTCTTTGCGCTGATACGATCTGCACGTTCCCTCTATGCCGTAACCTTAGCTGCGACCTGTGCTGCTGGTTCTTCTCCACCCGCACCTTCCAAAGCCGATGCTCCCCCTTCCTTCTCTCAACCCCCCCTTCACCCCCTGTGCAGCTCGCCTGCAAACTGTGCTGCTGGTTCCTCTTCTTCTGCGCCACGCGCACCTTCTCCAACTCCCTGGAAGCGTCGCTTGCTGTCATCGCCCTCTCCTTCTGGCCCCTTTGCCAACCCCTCCGCCCCTGTTTCAGCTCGCCTGCAACCTGTGCTGCTGGTTCCTCTTCTTCTGCGCCACACGCACCTTCTCCAACTCCCTGGAAGCGTCGCTTGCTGTCATCGCCCTCTCCTTCTGGCCCCTTTGCCAACCCCTCCGCCCCTGTTTCAGCTCGCCTGCAACCTGTGCTGCTGGTTCCTCTTCTTCTGCGCCACACGCACCTTCTCCAACTCCCTGGAAGCGTCGCTTGCTGTCATCGCCCTCTCCTTCTGGCCCCTTTGCCAACCCCTCCGCCCCTGTTTCAGCTCGCCTGCAACCTGTGCTGCTGGTTCCTCTTCTTCTGCGCCACACGCACCTTCTCCAACTCCCTGGAAGCGTCTCTTGCTGTCATCGCCCTCTCCTTCTGGCCCTGGCGCCGCTTGCAGCGGGTGCTGCAGGGAGGAAGGGAGGGTGGTGCACAGGGGAGGGGTCAGGAAAAGCAGGAAGAAGACGGTTCTGTAACTCATTCGGGCTCTAACATTGTCACCAATCCTGGAGCCAATCGACCGTTAGCCCTGGCTTTGGCAGCAGCAGCGTGCATGGTTCGCCCCACCAGCACGCCCTTCTGGCTGCCCCTAGGCCTGCACGAGCTTCTGTTGCTGCTGGTAGGGGGGACGTTGAAGGGAGGAAAGAAGAGCAGAGGCGGATGGGAATGGCTGTGGCTGCTGGTTCTAGAGGTGCTGCCTATCGGGTAAGTAGGCTATGTCACTTTGCCGTGTGTGGTTCATACTACCAGCAAGCCCTCATGAGTGCGCTTCTGGGTATAAAGAGCTTGCGCTGGTGGTGTTTGGGAGTTGGGTGGGTGGGGGTGAGGACGGGGCTGGGTGGGATGTTGGGGGCGAGGACGGGGGGGGCATGTAATATGATGAGGAATGGAAGGAAAGCAGTGGCAGATGGGAATGTACGTGGCTGTTGTGCCGTGAAGTGCTGCCTGCTGATGGGTCTGCTGTCCCCTCCAATCGTCCCCACCACCTACTCATTCCCCCACATCTTTGCCCCGAACCTTAATTCAAGGCATTCGCCCCCAAATGCTTAACCCAAACCCGAATTCTGGAAACTTGATCAAAGTAAACCGTGCATCCAGGTTATTTACCCTCTCCTCTCCCCCCTGAATTTCTTTTATCCAGGCTATTTACCCTTTCCCCCCTGAATCTCTTTTATCCAGTTTGTTTACACTCTGCTCCTTGCTGCTCCCTTCGTCATCGCCCACCCACCAGCGTGACAGCTGTCGCGATCTCAGTGGCCATCGACAGCTGGCAGTACGGCCGGCCAATGGTGTTCACCCCTCTCAACCTCCTCCATTTCAACATACATCTCAAGGGCTCCAGCCTTTATGGCAGCAACCCCTGGCACTGGTACTGGTCGCAGGTAGGAGTGGGGATGGGTGGGAGTGAGTGTGTGTATGTAAAGAGACATATGTCTGTATATGCGTCTGTGCCCATCCAGTGGTGTTCACCCCTCTGAACCTTCTCCACTTCAACATCCACCTGAAGGGCACTAGTCTGTACAGAACCAACCCCAACCCCCCCCCCCCCCCCCACCCCGCACCACCCCCCCCAGGGCCTCATAGCAATGCACGCCAGCTTCTTCCCCCTCGCATGCCTCGGCCTGCTCTGGTGTTCCTCCTTCCAGTCCTCCTCCTCCTCCTATAACGCACCTCGTTATAAAAACACGAGATGGTTGCAGAATACTCTACAGCACATGCAGCAGTGCCTTATATGGTGCTCTGTGCGCCTGCCCTTCCTCCTGGCTCTCTGGCTGCCGCTCTTCTACTCCTTCTCAGACCACAAGGAGCACCGGTAAGTGAGTGGTGCTTGGAGCACCGGTAATATCTGAAAGGATGGGTGCTGGTGCCACCTACCATAGGCAGCGATGCCTCGTGTGGCTGTCTGTGCGCCTGCCTTTCCTCCTGGCACTCTGGCTGCCGCTCTTCTACTCCTTCTCAGACCACAAGGAGCACCGGTGTGTGTTTGTGGATTACTGGTTAGGTTACTGTCGCAAGGACCTCTGGTTGGGTACTGAGTCAAGTCAAACTTCTCTCTGGATGCCACTCTTCTAGTCCTGCTCCGATCACAAGGAGCACTGGCTAGTGCAGCCAGAAGCATTGATGCAACGAGTACTACTAGTACGTGGGCGTATCGGCTGACTCGCCACGAGGAGTCAACTCAGCAGTCCGCCTGTTTTCCATTCTTCCACTCCGTTTCGAATCACAAGGAGCACCAGTGTATGTCACATGGTACCGCAGTACGTGTACAGTCGACTCCTACCTCCCTCTGGTTTCCGTTCTTCCACTCCGTTGCAAATAAAAAGGAGCAGAGAAAGTAGGACGTCGTCCCCCTCCCATCTCCCATACTGTTCTCCCCCGGGCCCTTTTCCTCACCTTCTTTTCCTCCCAACGTCTCTCCTTTCTTCCCCCACAGATTCATTCCCAAGACTTATGGTACTCTGTAGGCTAAGGGGTTGTGTTAGAATATTCTCCCTTCATTCTATTAACCTACATCGTTTTACTGTCTTAGGTACTTATAAGCACCCCACTAGGCTGTATACACCCAAGTTGGGGGTTAGGTTCCCAACCTTGTTAGGTTGCCAAATTGGTTGGGCTCCCAATGATTGGAACCTCCAATAATCCCAACCAAGATTATTGGACCCACCAATAATCTTGGCAAGGATTATTGGACCCCCAATAAGTTGGCCAACTCAACTTATTGGGGTCCCCAATAATCGTGGTCACCTCCCAACCAAACCCCCCCTTCCTACTCCTCACCTATGTATACCCACTCTTTTCTTAATACGATCATCACTTCAGTTTCTCACACGTCTCTCATTTCTTCCCCCACAGATTCATTCTGCTGTCTCTCCCTCTCCTCAGCACCTATGCTGGCCTCGCCCTCTCTCTAACCGTCTTCACTCATCTCCTCTACACATCCCACATTCTCTAATCGTCTACATCCCACATTTTTCTGCACTCCCCATAACCCCCTCCCCCCCAGCTTCATCCTGCTCTCCCTCCCTCTTCTCAACACATACACTGGCCTAGCCCTCTCTCTCCTGCAGTCATGGCTCACCACCACCAACCCCGCATCTAACAACCACAACACCACAGTGGACAGCAACCCTCTCACTTTCAGCCAACCCAAAACATCTAATTCCTCTCGAACGCCCAACCCTTCTCAAACGCCCAGCTCAACCCAAACATCCAATTCAACCCCAGAATGCAATCCATCGCATTCCAACCCAGGGAGCCAAGCCTGGCGCGCCTTCCTCGCCCCCTTCCTCCGCCCCTGGTCGCCCCTCTTCCGCGTGCTCCTGCTAGCAGCCTTCCTCCCCCACCTCCTCGCCGCCCTCTACCTCTCCACCACCCACCAGCGTGGCGCCGTGGCAGTGATGCCATTCCTCTCAAGGGAAATAAATGAGATCCTGCAGAAACGCACGATGATTAGTGGCGCGTTGGGAACTGACTCTGTGAATAGTGGCAGTTCAGGAATCGACACTCTGAATAGAGGTCGTATTGAGGGACAGGGAGCAGACACAATTGGGGGTGGGGAAGGGCTGCAGAGGCAGATGAGGAGAGGAGCACGGAAAGGGGAGAATGGGAGTCTATTTTTGAGGCGCCTCAAAAAAGGGAGGGGCGTGGAGGTGTTGTTTTTGATGCCATGCCATTCCACTCCTTTCCACTCGCACATTCACGACCTCGCTGCTAGGCTCACTATGCTCTCATGCGCCCCCACCATCACATGTAAGCGCCCACCGTCTCCTGTGAGTCTGCCATTCCTTTGGAGGCGGGGAAGGAGAGGGAGGGGGGCGTGGAGGGGCGTGGAGGTGCTGTTTCTGATGCCATGCCATTCCATTCCCTTCCACTCGCACATTCACAACCCCGCTGCCACACTCACCATGCTCTCATGCGCCTCCACCATCACATGTGAGTCTTCGCTATCCCACTCATATGCCTTCCTCACCTCTCTCGTTTCCCCCCTCACTCTCTTCCTCCCTCTAACTCGCCCTGTGTCTTTCTTTCTGCCTTCCTGCCTTCCTGCCTTTCCCCCTTCCTGCCTTCCCCCCTTCCTTCCATCCATCAGCACCCTAACCATGTCACGCGAATCTGAGTTTGAAGACATGCTCTCCCTCCCACCCACATGCCTTTCCACTGCTCCCACTCCCTCCCTCAAGCCCTTCCTCCCGCTTACTATTCCACTACCTCTCCCTTTCCCATTCCTCCCCTCCAGCCCATCATCCCAATGGCTCGATAACCGTGTCCCGCGAGAATGAATTCCAAGACATGCTCTCCCATCCACACGCCTTCCCCCGGTCCCTCCCTCAACCCCCTCCTCCCACCAACTCTCCCTGTTCCCCCCTCCTCCCCCCCTCCAGCCCATCCCAATGGCTCAATAACGGTCTCCCGTGAAACAGAATTCGAAGACATGCTCTCCGACCCACACGCCTTCCTCGCTGCTCGGTACTCTCTCCATCCATCTACCCGTGGATGCGCACTCGCTGCTACTGATGGTTGCAAGCCTGCTTATAAAGGGGATACTGCCCAAGCAGCAAAGGAAGCAGCGCCTTCAGTCTGTGAAGCTGAATCAAATAGAGGAGGCATGTGCTTGGAGCAAAAACAAGTGGATCATGGAGTCGGGGAAAGGGAGCTGCCGGATCTGGTGGTGGCATTTGACACAGAGGAGAATCTGCTGCTGCCGTTTCTCGAATGTGCCGGTTACAAAGAGGTATGTATTTTTACAGTCTAAAATTTGGTCGGGAATGGCTACTGGGAGCTGCCATATTTGTTGGTGGCACATTTGACACGGAGGAGAAGGTTCTGCTGCCGTTTCTCGAATGTGCCGGTTACGAAGAGGTACGTGCTGGTTCATCTGATGTGTTGGACGGGAGTGTTTACGAGGACCTGTCAGATCTGGTTATGGCACTTGATACCGAGGAGAAGTCGTTGCTGTCCTTTCTTTAGTGTACTGGTCACACAGAGGTATGTCACGTGTTTTATCTTGGTGTATCGATCCCTGGGTTATTCGCACCGGTTGTGCACACATCCCTATGGAGCTTGCGACCCAATTTGCTGCTAGCTTGGGGCTTCAAACGCGGTGTGCTTGAAAACGCCAGGGGAAGGGTTACCAGACACTTCTAACCTATGCATAAAATGAGCTGATGTTTGAGGTTCCCGGTTTCCTCCAAGAAAAACCAAGGAGTATGGATACAATTTGCCACAACCATCGTTATCGTGTGGACTGTCTTTCATTGTTTGCAGGTGGCAAGATTCTTTCACGCACACTTTCCTGTGGATAGAGAGCTACAAGGGCATGTGCTAGTGTATCGAAAACATTTGGTATTATGGTAGATATTCCTCGCCATGGAGTCCTATGAGCACAACAATTGTAATTGTTGTTGTGATATTATTGGTACTTAGCATTTCTGTAAGTCGATTAAGTGTAGTTAGTGTCGAATCATACTGTAGAAGATAAGTCCGTAAGTATGACGTCAGCAAATAGCGCTCGTCATAGGACAGTCATTTCAGTCACGCGAACAGTCGCATCTCTTCATTATCATCTAGAGCGCATAGCGCGATAGTGACGAATAGGTACTTTTCCTACAACTATAAATTCTTGTTAGGTCTTTTTCATATTTAACTTTGCTTACTCACAAGTTCACATACTCAGGTTATTCAACCTTGACCTTTACATTTTACAAGACTTCCGCTGTCTTACTAGTCTACCATTCCAGCAAAGATCCTGGACCAACACTTGAGGATTTGCCAAGTGTTCGCATTTGTAGTTTTATACTTAGTCTCTTACAACATCAGACGATTTATTTCATGGTATGAGAGCTATCTGGAATTAAGACTACCGTCAACTATGACTGGTTCATCACCAGCACCATCTGCCCGATCAGTTACCGGAACTACTGGAGCACATGTCTCCACTACCGCCGCTGGTCTCTCAGCCTCGGGGCCATTTCCACAAGCCTATGCTAATATCGGTATGCAACAGCAGAATCCGCCTTCAGTAAATACTCCAGGTGCTCCATCGACTACACCTGCAGCACAGCAACAAGCGTCAGTACAGCCACCAGTTTCAACGCAATCAATTTCATCTGCGTTCAGTGGAATGAGCCTTGACGGCTCGAGTTACATGCGTGGAGCTTCAGCTTCAAGTACTGGTTCGTTTGCTTTCTCACCTTTCGTACAGCAGCCACAGTCACAGCAGTTTCAGCATCCCTTCTACATCTTCGGTCGTCCCCCTGCTCAGCAACCTCAGCAGCCTCAGCAAGTTCAGCAACAACAGCAATAGCAACAACAGCAACAACAGCCAGGCATTGTCTTTCAGCCTCCAAATTTACTTAACAATACTCAAATCAAGACGACCATACCTTTTAACGGAGTCGACTTCTACTCCTAGAGCTTTGAGTTTGAGCTTCTGGCGCAATCCGCTGGGCTATGGCCGTTCTTCACCGGCGAATTCACCTATCCTGTTACGGGAACACAACTGAAGCAGCAGAGTTTCTTGCACGCCTCTCTCGGGGCGTATACAGTTATTGTGCGGAACTTGTCGTCGAAGGAGCAGTTCGGCGTTCGATCATTTCACTCAAGTTTTACACCAGCCGAAACTGCATGGAACCATCTGAAGGGGGTATACATGGCAAAGGATACAATAACAGTGAGTAAAATACTTTCGCAGCTGACAAGTGTGCAGATGGTGACAAATGAAAACGTAATGGACTACGTTAACCGCGTCCGTACACTACGTGACCAACTGGAGAAGAGCGGGGGATACTTCCCTCGTGAGATGTATCTCACAGTCCTTCTGGCTGGTCTTAGACCCAAATGGCGACAGACGCGCGCCTTCCTACGCATGAATCCCAATCTATCCGAAGCTGAAATTTCTTCTTATCTTCAAGTAGAGCAACAAGATCTTGACCTGCAGTTACAGCGCAATCAGAAAAAGGGGGTTCATTTAAGTTTCTACTCCAATCCAGAACCACAGCATCGACATCCACCGAAGTATCCATTCTGCCATTTCTGTAAAAAACCAGGACATACTTACCAAAACTGTCGCAGCCGTCATCAAAATCGTCGCAGCACTTCACAGCCGTATCATCGATCGCAGCAGTTACCGAAGACACAACAGTCACAGCAGCAGCAGATGCCGAAACCGCAGCAGAATCCATCGACGTCGCAACATCGCCCGCCGGTCTTTGCATCTGCCCCATCCGGAAAAGGAGTCTTTGGATGCGTCACCACAGTTGATGTTTCAGAAACAGATTTCCAAACACGACTTGAAGAAACAACAAGTGCTGAAGGCATTCCTTTACCTCAAGTTTACGCTAACCTTGCTCGCATAATTTCAGGTCCGAATACTTGGTATCTCGACAGCTGCTGCGGTTGGCACATGTGCTCCGCAGAAACAAGCTTCATAACCAACCAGCGTCCACTTCGTCGTCCGATACCTGTCACAGTCGCAAATGGACAAACGGTTATTGCACGATCTGTTGGAAGCGTAACGCTCGAATCTATCGACACGGGGTACTCACTACATGTTACCAATGTTCTTATCGTCGCTGGTCTTGGATTCAATCTTCTTTCCACGGCTCATGTCACAGGATCGAATGACTCGAGGATCGATTGCACTATCGATCAGTACAAGGTGCTTTTATACTTCCAGAGTACATGAGGTAACCAGGTTTATCCTATCCAAAGGAATAGACCCTTCTAGAATATAGAATCACCCTGCGTATAGCCGCACGAGGCCATTGGCTTTAAGGGATTACGGCAGGATTACGCTGGATAATGTGCCAGTACATCCCAAGCCTGGTCGGTGATATAATTATAATAGCAGGATCAACCAAAGGATAATGGAAGAATGGAGAATAGGAAACCAAATGAGATGAGATAAAAAGAAGAATGAAATAGGAAGGAGATAAGAATAGGACAAGTGGTGTAACGGGGTCGTACTCTCACACTTCCCCCCCTCAAAGCTGGGTGGTAGAAGTAACACCCTGCTTGACAAGGTAGTCATGCAGAGGACGACGGGCGTTACCCATGTCGGTTTCAGAGACCCAGCTGTCCTCAGAAGGATCATAGCCCTTCCAACGAATAAGAAGCTCCACGGTGCTATTCCGACGTCGACGATGTGCAAGCACGGACTCGACCTCGTACTCGGGTTCGTTCTGGACGAGGACGGGCGGCGGCGGCGGCGGCTGGCGTCCCACGAAGATCGTGTTAGGATCCCGATAGGGCTTCAGAAGTTGGACATGGAAGGCGTTGTGAATCTTCCAGGTAGCTGGCAGGCGTAAGCGGAAGGTAACAGGGGTAACCTGTGATTCAACGAGGAAAGGTCCGCGGAAGCGAGGTCGAAGTTTAGATGGGAGGTGGCTGATGTCCAGGTTGCTGGTGTCAAGAAGCACCTGGTCTCCCACGGAAATGGTGTAGTCGTTGCGATGGCGATCGGCCTGGCGTTTCTGTTGCTGTTGAATGTCAAGGAGGCGCTTATGGGACTGATCCCACAGTTGATGCATGGTTGTGATGAAGTCGTGTGCAGGTTGGACTGTTGCTGATGTTGTCGGTTTCTGTGGTGTGAGTGGGTGGCGTCCGTAGCAGAGGAAGAACGGCGTCTGTCCAGTAGCGGCATGTGTGGCGTTGTTGTAAGCAAACTCCAGAACGGGCAGGTGCAAGTCCCATTTGGAGATCTCGTCCTTGCAGGCTGCTCGGAGGAGTTGCTCCACAATCTGGTTAAGGCGCTCGGTCTGTCCGTCTGTCTGCGGATGGTATGCGGATGACATGGCGAGTTTGGTGCCGAGCAGAGACATGAGTTCCTTCTAGAACTTGCTGGTGAACTTGGGGTCTCGGTCGGAGATGAGTGTAGTTGGAATGCCATGCTGTGAGATGATGTAGCGAACGAAGAGTTGTGCTGTCTCCTCGGTGCGTGCCGTCGTGTGTGTCGGGATGAAGTGTCCCATCTTAGAGAATTTGTCGATGACGACAAGAATTGCGTCATGACAGCTAGTGGTAGGTGGTAACCCGGTGATGACATCCAGGCTTACCACTTGCCATGGCTGTTCTGGGACAGGAAGAGGCTGTAGCAGTCATGCTTTTTTCTGCTTACTGCTCTTCATCCGTTGACATGTATCACACGAGGTGACGAATTTCTGAACATCATCTGCCAAGTGAGGCCAGTAGTAGTGTTTTGCGATACCGGTCAGCGTCTTGTTGCTACCGAAGTGTCCGGCGTAGAGGACGTCGTGGTATTCTTCGAGTAGTAACTGGCGTAAAGGAGGGTAATCGGGTACCCAGATTTTTGTTGATCCTTTCCGGTACGCAATGTCGTTGTCCCACTGTAGTAGATGTCATTTTTCTGCCAAGGGAATTTCGGGGTCGATGGTATACCCGTGTGTGAAGAGTCCCTTGAGTAGTGGATTCATCCCTTCGGCCTGAATAGCGGCAACGTGTGCAGGCCGGCTGAGGGCGTCTGCTTTGTTTTTGTGGCCGGGCTTGTACACGATGTCGTAGTGGAAGTGTGTCTCGAGGAAGTCAATCCACCGGACCTGCCGCCTGGAAAGGGTTGGTTGTGTCTTCAGATATTTCAGACTGCAGTGGTCGGTGTAGACTGTTGTTTGTCGTCCTTCGAGATAACATCTCCATGCTTTGAAGGCGATGACAATAGCAAGAGCCTCTTTGTCGTGTATCGGGTAGTTGAGTTCTGCCCCGTGCAGTTTCTTGCTGAGGTAGGCAATTGGTTGCAGTCCATTCCCCTGGTCTTGCATCAAGACTGCTCCCACGGCCTGATCACTGGCGTCTGCTTCAATGACGTAGTCACGTTCGGGATCTGGCAAGATGAGCACCGGTGCGGATGTCAGTGCTTGTTTCAGCTGCTCCACGGCTTCCTGGTGCTTCGTCTCCCATTTGTAGGGCGTGTTCTTCTTCAGCAGATTCGTGAGTGGTGCCGCGAGTTTCGCATACTGTGGCACGAACCTGTTGTAGTAATTAGCGAAGCCTAGGAACTGCTGCACCATGTGTCACGTTCTCGAGAGTCTTCCACGTACGTACGGCTTCGATTTTCTTGGGGTCGACGTGAACTCCTTGAGCGCTCACCATGTGTCCTAGAAATTGGACCTCCTCCAGGGCGAATTTGCTCTTGGACAGTTTGACGTAGAAACGTTCCCGTCGAAGAATTTCGAAGACGCGTCGCAGGTGTTCGACGTGCTGCTTCATGTCGCGCGAGTAGATGAGGATGTCGTCCAGGTACACCACCACGCATTCGTCCAAGAGTGGGCGTAGGATGTGGTTCATTTCTGCTTGGAACGTCGCTGGTGCGTTGGTGAGTCCGAACGGCATGACCAAATACTCGTACAATCCGTACCGAGTTCGGAAAGCAGTTTTGGAGATAGAGTTGTCCGCCGTCCGTATCTGCCAGTATCCGGACCGCAGATCCAGTTTGGAAAATACCGTAGCTCCCCGAAGCTGGTCAAGCAGGTCATCGATTCGTGGTATCGGATACTTGTTCTTGATGGTCTGCTTGTTAAGAGCTCGGTAGTCGATGCACATGCGCAGGCTTCCGTCCGGTTTCGGGGTGAAGAGTACTGGGGCACCGTATGGTGAAGTGGATGGTCGGATGAGT